GATAAGCGGGTGTGGGTGATAAAAGCGTAAATTAAAGCGTTCAGCTCCTCTTTGCGTTCCTGCCTCTTTCTAATCCGCGGCAGCTGTTGCTGGGTGTTAGCAGCTGTGCGCCTCAGTGGGGAGCAAGTCTCGGAGGGTCACGGAGTAAAAGCCTTTGAATACTGTGATATTGCGCCCAGCGAGCCCCTCGCTGGTCTTACAGTGGTCAGCTGGCCTTTCCATCTCACCAGAACCTCCTAAAAATGAGTTAAGTCAAAATTACCCGTGCTGTGAGGGTGGTCGAGCGCTGGCGTGGGTTGCCCAGAGAGGTTGTGCGGTCTCCACCCCTGGAGATACTGAAAACCTGATGACATGGTGCTGACCTACCCTAACTGACCCTGCTTTCAGCAGCGGGGCTGGACCAGACCATCTCCAGAGCCGCCCTAATGCCTCAACCGTTCTGTGATTCTGTGGAGTATAACCGTATGAAAATGAAAATATAGTATAATAGATTTAAAGGAGCAATGCAGAGTATCAGATCTAGAGCAGGTAGCACCTGACCGCCTGCAGAGAGCCTGCTGGGGACGCCCGGGCATAGGGACGCCTGCTGTCTTCTGGGGGGTGACACGAGGGACACGTGGCCAGGTTTGCAAAGCCGTTACGTCTTGGGTAGTGCAGGCAGGCCAGTGGGACTTCTAGTGAGTTAGAAACTGAACTGGCATGGAAGCCACTGGGTCAGAGGAACCACACCAAACAGCTTTAGACACCAGGTGTAGACGTTTGTGTGCAGAAGATGATAGCCTCTTAAGGTGACCCCTAAATTGTCAGTGGAGAGAAGCGTCTCCTTCAGGACATGCCAAAATAGTGGCATGAGCTGGTCTTTAGGAGAGCCTGGGGCAATTTTAAGAAAACATGCTTTGTCCTCATTTACACCACTATATACCTAAAGCACTTTGGAAAATCTGTCCCTGGAGGACGACTGCAATCTGGAGGGACAATTTCCTTCTCCCTTGTTGAGTAATGCGCTCAGCAAGCACGCGTGGTGCCATCCTCCATTCAGGTCTACCTCAGTCATTGTGCTAAGCCTTGTGAAACTTTATTGGATGATTCAAGATGATTCATTCATATTTCTGGTGGCCCTCCTGCTTTATAACAAGGATTAAAAATGGGTGTCACCTTGCTGCTGGTCGCCGTTTTCCTGCTTTATCCGCTGATTTCTTATGTGACAGGGTAACAAATACTTTCCTGTGATCTAGACTGAGTGTGGTGTGTTTCAGCATCTGTCACTCTTACATTTAGAACAGTTACATTAAAAAATGCAAAAGCTTTTACAACATTTGTTTCACAAATGGAGACGACCAGCATTTCAATTAAATATTTTAATTTAGGACTTTGGAGAGCCGTGTTTATTCACTTAGTTAATTTGTGAATTATTTCCATTCCAATTACAGCACATTATAAACAAGCTAATGTTTGTATCCTGTATTGCCAGTTTGTCACTATTAGTGAGACGGTGGACTGTCTTGGTCATTAGGGCAGATGGCATTGGCATGGATTTCACCCTGTAGCATTACAGAACAGTTGTAATTTAGAGGAAAATCTCTTTTTAGGCATTGTGAAGATTAACAGATGCAAAAATTAGTGACGGGTCATAGTTAAAGAGCTCTTGTGTCACTGTCTTACTGCTGATCTCTGTCTCTCTCTCATGAGCATGCTGGTACAGCTGATGTTTGCTGACCCTCAGGCGAGCACAGAACAGCCCGGCGCTGCTGGAACAGGAAGCAGAGGTCGGGCTGTGCCGGCTTTGGACCCAAGCTAGGATCCCCGTCTGACGCTGCAACTGCCATGGTGATGTACAAAGATAGTCCGGCCTATCTCAGGTAACACAATATGACTTTGCGTAATATTGGCATATCCTGAGGCATCGGCTGCGAAGTCTAGTGTTGTAACCTATTGCAGGGCATAGTTTGGAAGTTACTCTTCAGGCAGTCACTGGAAGGCAGCTCTGGATGAGTTCAGGCATGTGCACTTCTTCCCCTCAGGTAGCTGTGACTGACAAACATGGGAACTGCTCCTGCGGGGCCATGGCCCAGCTGTGTCCTGAGTGTCAAGTCTGCTTCCAGGACACTGTGTGCCATGGATGGGAAGCCTGTTCATACAGCCGGAAGATGAAAAGAGAGACTTCCTGGTCTGAACAGTAGGAGCATCAAGCTTTGGGATGCATCCTGATTTACCCAGTGAGTAAGCATAGAGCTGTCCATAGAAACCAAACAACAGCCCCATTCGAAGAGGAAAAAATGTTCCTTAAGTAACATGTTGACATATTCTTCATCTGGGGCCTTACCAGCTAGCAGGCTTTCCTTCAGAAAATCCAACAGGGCCCCATGCCTCTCTCATTCCTTCCTAAGCACCCTCTCTTAATCCCTTTTTATAGGCTCCTAGGCTTTAATCCATATAACCAAAACCACCCTGAAGGAGCACCAAGTCAAGTGACAGTCCTCAGTACACTCTTACCTGGAGTTATTTTTCCTTTGGATTTTTCCCCATATGTAGTCTCATAGTAACTTAAATAAAAATATTAAGGAAGTTCATATTCTAGTAACAACTCTTGCAGATAGTAATGGTTAGCTGTATAAAGGAACAGTGAAAAACCCAAATATATGACAGCAGCCTGTGTGCATTTTAGAAATGGCTTTTGTTAGAATTTTCTTTCAGGAGATTTAAAATCTTCGTTAAATATCCACAGTGGTATTAAATATGAATTTTAAATTTCAGAAAAAATATTAAAAACTTTAAAAGATGAACTTATTAAGCATAAAATTTGTTGAAAAACAAATATCTGGTAAAGCAGCAAAGTAACATATAGATAGAATTCTATATGCAAATGTATGAAGAGTTATTATAATATTTTTTCTGTCACGCTGAGACAGTTATATGTAGTGATAAAGTACTTACAGCGCAGTTTCCTTGTTCCTGAACTTTTCTCGATAATTTCTCTGTCTCTGATCATTAAATATTTTAGATAGCAATAAAAATATGGGTAAGTTTTACTTTCAAATGTGCATCCGTCTTCTCTATGAATGCTCTGTGCCTAGCTTGGGCCTGCCTTTAATTACTTCAAGCATTCCCTCCTGCAAAGTGAGAAGTGACTTGAAGTTCTGTAAATGTGTTTGTCACTTCTTTTTAATTCCTTCCTCTTTGCCAGTATTTTTTCATTTTGACAGGAAGCTAGCTTCATGTTGATTTAATCTTCAGTGTTACATGAGTGTCATTTAGACACTCAGACCACGTAATGAGCCAAACTCTGCCTGTGCACAAAATTGTGCAGTTATTACTGACCTTTCAGAATCTTTGAACTGGAATACCCTGGGCACTGCACAGCCCATTTTACCTTTTTTTTTTTTTTTTAACTTTCTTTTTTTTCCTCCCATTGGTGAACGAAGTGTTGAAGTCTTCACTCATTTTTTTCTCAATTGCTAGGCAAGCTGAAAACAATTAGGAGCATAACTAAAGTAAGGGTTATATAGAGAATGCTTTGGGTTTATTCCCTTATCCCAAATCAGTCCTTCATCCATTTCTGAAGGAAAGAAAGAAAATGGAGAATGAAAGAACAGTTGCCAATCTGTATCGATTTAATAGAAAATGAGTCTTGTCACACAGACATGATGTTATGACAATGGGAAGATATATTTTGTTCTTCCACAGATGCAACAGATTTTTGAAAGGCACTTGTCTTATCATATGTCATTATAACACAAATGCCAATTTTCACTAAAATACATGTGAAGGGGATTAATACCTGGTTTGC